ATCCTGTCTAAGGCTCCTAAGCATTTAGTTAGTAGAGCCAATGGCATAAAGACACAACAATAGGCCCTTAGCAATACAAAGTACAACACGTATCCTTTATTGCGGTTTAAAACATTTTATATGAGTGTATTTTTTACCAACCATCTAATGAAATACACACAGTTATTAACAACGTAATTAAAAGTAGCATGTCTGCTTTGCTATTGGTGTCGTGTTTAAACGGCTCACCATCATGTTGAAATCTGCCATGTGTTGGGGTATAAATAAGGTCCGGTCAGTCAGCTTAGTATCAGGTGGGTTTAAAATTAATTTTTCGCACCATTACATCTGCAAAGAGATTTCCTAGTTCACAATAGCGTAGGGGGCCAACCAGGTGTCAGTGACGGGGCCCCTAAGAGGTCAGGGGCCCCTAAGCAACTGCAGTCTCTGCTTACTGATAGATACGCCATTGAGTAGAGCCATCAGTGTCTGGCACACAAACAGAGATGAAACCTGCAGAGTTGGTGGGATGTGTCTCACCTTTTCAGGGTCTTGGCTCTGCAGGCTGCCAACATCCAGAGGAGTGATGAGGGGCACATTTTGGAAGCCGTCCTCAATACTCACAGCTTTGGCCCCTTTGTCCTGAAGATTGCTCCCCAGTTTCACCATCTTCAGCCTCCTGGTAATATTCCTTTATTTCCCTCTAGATCTGCTCCTGGAAACAGAAGCCAATTAGAAACAGAAATAATGTACACCTCATGCTCTGCGGGAAAAATAAAAAATAAAAATAAGTTTAGAAGTCATAGATTTATTGTCAAATTGTGGATTTATTTTATTTTTTTTTTATTTTTTTTACAAGCTGGATGATTCTGAATTTTAAATTATGCTGAAAAAACATGGATATAATTCAAGGATATCCTGGAAAAGTCTTCTAAAAGCGTCTTACTTTCAGCTGTTGGTCCCGGTCCGCCCGCTGGCTCTGCGCTGCGGCAGGGAGAGGATGGAGCAGTGGGAGCAGGTGATGCTGGAGGCTGATGCTGATGCTGGAGGCTGCGGGGAAAGCAAAGCTGCGCCGCCGATGACAAGCTGGACGTTTGGCTGCAGGTTTTCAGTCAAGCAAAGCAGCCCAACCCCCTAATCCGAGCACAGCCTCTCCTTTCCTGTAGAGCTACACCCAACCGCTGGAGCTGCTGGCCGCTAGAGGGATGTTTAGCCTCTTTAATCCCCTGATTTCGTTTGTTTGGTTTAAGTGGAAGCTGAATTAGTGTTGCATTTAAAGGCGCCTCGTGAATTGCAGCTTTTTTAATCGGTAAAGTGGAACCGTTTTATATTTAATGGGAAAATGTACAATATTATAGAGCCAGTTCATTACAATCCAGCTAACCTTTAAAAATAACATAAATACAAATATTATAGCATTTTAAATTTTAATTTTCACATTATAAAACTCTGACATGGGGATTCAAGTTGTTCATTATTTAAACAATGCTAGCTGAAATAAATTTCAATAGTAAATATGTTTAGAAATATGTATCCTATAAATGTGAAACCATTTTTCTCTTATAGCACCCAAAAGCAATCTATATTAGATCTGAATTAGTGTTGCATTTGAGGCGCCTCGGAAATTGCAGCTCTTATAGTGGTAAAGTGGAACCGTTTTATATTTAAGGGAAAAATGTACAGTATTATAGAGCCAGTACATTACAGTCCAGCTAACCCTAACAAATAACACAAATACAAATATTATAGCCTTTTAAAATCTATTTTTTTACATTTAAAATCTCTGACATGGGGATTCAAGTTGTTCATAATGCTAGCTGAAATAAATTTCAATTGTAAATATGTTTAGAAATATGTATCCTATAAATATGAAAAAAAAAAATTTCTTACAGCACCCAAACGCAATCTATATTAGAGCTGAATAAGTGTAGCGTTTTAGGTGCCTCGTAATTGCAGCTTTTATTGTGGTAAAGTGGAACCCTTTTATATTTAATGGAAAAATTTACAACATTGTAGAGTCAGTTCCGTTTAATCTAGCAAACCTTTACAAGTAACATAAATACAAATATTACAGCCTTTATATAAATGTGAAACATTTTTTTTCCTTACAGCACCCAAACGCAATTTATATTACGGCTCTATTTTTTGTCCTATGTCGCCATCTGGCGATCGTTTTATTGTATTGCAGATTTTTCTGATTACAAGAGTGACAGCGGATCATCTGTTGATTAGATTGTTTTAAGTTATTAATTCCCCCTTTGGACTTCCTGCTGATTTTGACATATAACTGCCACACGCTTTGCTTTATTTTAATGGGATCATATGAGATAGACCCACGCAAAGTGGGTCAAATAGTAGAAAAGTTTTCAGCTTTTTTGTATTACAGCTTGAATTCTGAAAAGTATGGCATGCATTTTACCCCTGGCACCCCTAATTACATTCAAGTGATATTCTCTCTATTTCTAATGTATCCCCAGTATAAATAAATCTGACCCGCGCAGGCTTCAAAGGATTTCTTGAATAAACAGCATCATAATAACCAAGAAACACAGCTGAAAGATCAGAGATGAAGTTAAGCATAAAGGACATTATCACAGTTTTACATCCCATAGAGTATGATTAGAAATACAACCAAACAGACAGGAATGGAACAATTGATAAGAAAGAGAAGCAGCCAATATAACTTAAGATAAGTTTATGTAGGTTTTAAAATATATGACACCACTCCTATGATGAAACATGGTTGAAGCTGCATCATGCTGTGGGAATGCATTTCTTCATTCGGGAAAACATTGGCCGGAATAATTGGGAAAATGGATAGAAATGTATGAAGTACCATCATGGAAAAAAAACTATCTGTGAGAGGTTGACAGAGACATAAAAAGTGGCGCTGGCTTTTTTTTTCCCTTTCCAATAGGAGAACGAATGTTATGATAAAACCAGAACTGAAAGGGAATGACATAAGCTGGAGTATCTATCATAACATCCTCAGGGAGAACATGCAATCTGCAGAAAGACCCCGGGAATCGAACCGGAAACCTTCCTGCAGGGCAGCACTGAGCAGCCCCATTTTCATGTTGTACATTTCAATGTTTTTAGAAGGTTTTTGACTAGTGTAAGATTGATAGAAGAAGGGAAGAAGATAGGAAGACTGATGAAAAGAAGATTGAATGAGAGAGGAGGGAAAATAGGAACCCTGATGAAAAGAACAGTTGAAGTAACGATGGAAAATTCTACTTAGAAGAGTAAAACAGAGAGCAGGTAGACGTCAGAACAGGGCTGGAAAGAAAAGGACCTCAGTAACCAGCCAGACACACCTGGATTAATCAGCTTGTCCAGTGATGAAAGACTGGAAACAAAGGAGCTGCTGAAGTTCAGAAAGTAGTGGAGCTTTGCATAGAGCCCATTAGTGGGAGAAATGAATTTGCCTCTTTGAGATGGAATAGAATAGAAAAATTGAATGGGGAAATTCTGGTAAATTAGCAGGTCTGTTGACAGAAATAATCATACATCGTTTAGCTGCAGGATCCCAATTGTTTGATCCATGTTAACGCAGATGTTTAACTCTCAAAGGTATGCAGATGTGAACAGAATGAGTATTTGCTACTTCTTTAAAGAACTGGAGGGACTCTGTCTCCACAGATGGCCTCAGGCATAGGCTTAATGTATGAGAAATGGTTGTATTTACTTTTCTGGATTCTCTTTTCTTCATGTCAATCTGCCCTTAGGGAACGGCAGAGCTCTTTAGGCCCCACAAAATTGGAAAACCCTGGTAACCAACCAGGACCCTCCACTCCCGCCCCTTTCCCCAAACCCAGATACAGCTTTCTATCTTAGGAGATAACAGCGTGGAGAGGCATCACTGGCTTTTACACTTGATTTTTGTTGTTTAAATATTAATAAATATGTAAAAATAAATGAAACCATTACTGTTACCTAAATTAAATCTTAATGAGACAAACACAACTTGGTTACAGTAAAAAGGCAGAATCTAAACTCCTAAAACGTAGCATAAATAATCAGACCACAACACAAACGTTCATCACAGTTAAGATTTATTTCATTCAACATTTCACATTACAAATATTTAAAAATTATGCATACTGTTATAAATAGTTGGCTGCAAACAATTAAATAACAGATTTTTCTTTTTCGTTTCACTAGCACTTCTACAGACCAACTGCTATAAATATGGACATATTTGTATTACATAACTTAATTAGAAAGGAAAATACAAAAATAGGAACTTATAAAGTGAAATGACAATAAAAATTAAGGTGATATCTTAAGTAAAAAAATGCTATTAATAAATACAACAACCTTCCCATACACAGTTAGAAACTATTGAAATCTTGCCATTAAGTAACATCATTAACAGACAAATATTTAAATATTTATTTTCCTTCAGAAAATGTGAACCATATATTGTGGAGCACAATATAGCAATTAGTAAAAACTAGACACTTTAACATATTAAAAGCTTCACCTCAAAAATATAACAAAAATCTGATCAAAATTATAAAAATCAATTATACATTCCAATTAAAAATATACCAATAAACATTGACCTAATAATTACAATGCAATCAATCACAGTAGCTTAAAATAAACCAGAAAATAAGCAAAATGAGCACAAAAACCTTTTAAATGTTTTAAAAATAACTTCAATTATTTATATTAGTACAAATAGTTTGATTTCTTTTTCTTTTTTACAAACACCAGCATGAAAAGGATTACAATAACAGTAGAAAATGACTGTGAAAAACATATTAACATCTTCTTTAATTAAATGTCTGCAATCAAAAATGGCATTAAAGAATTACATTGCAAAGAGTCTTTCTCTGGAAAAAGGTTTAAAAGAAGTATTGCACATAACAACTTGAAGTTAACTTGCAACAATTTACCACATTCAAGTCTTTAAGCTCCCCTTTCCTCCAGATAGGTCTATGTAAGCTCACCGCGACACACGGCGGGGATGAGTTCTCAAGTCTTTTCAAAAACAGTGTTTCTTTTCGTTTACGTTTTTTTTTTTTATCGTTTTTGTTTGTTTCGTTTTTTTTTTCCCACACAGATGCTCAAAGTCCTGCACTGCCGCATCGGATTAAAGATATTTCTCTCTCTGTCGTGTGCATCCCTGCAGAGGTCTGCGGATAAGGGGAAACGGAGGGAATCGACACGAGGGGAGGGGGTGAGCTGAGGTGTCCTTAACGTAATAAGTTGAGAAACATTTGGTGCACACCACAACAGTTAATTGTAATATCTAATTCATGTATTTGTCTTTTTTTTTTCCATCATGCATGCTAAGGATTACAATAGGTGCTAGTTGGCAAGTTCAAGAATATATATATATATTTATATATGAATATGTATATAGATTTTTTTTTTTCAAATATTAAAATATCTAAAACACCAAACATCCATTCTTGTGGTACGAGATTCAGCATGAAGCATGAACCAGATTTTGCATTCTCCTCTTTATGTTACGCTCCATCTATGGAGAGGAAACCAAGACAGAAGTTACCATTTCCCCCCAAACTAACACAGCCAAGGTCGGAGACATTTACATCAAATCCAAATTACAACTTTTTTTTTTTGTCCTTTTTCTCTTCCTGCCATGCTTTTATTGACCAAATCGACAACTAGTGTACGACCAAAACAAAACCAAAAAAAAAAAAAAAACAAAGACCGAGAGTGTTCCGCTTTGGTCTATCCTCTGCAGATCTGAAGTCGCATCAACACAACTGCACACTCGTAAAGTTGTAAAGACTCCTCAGCACGGAAATGTATAAAAAGCATAATTGAAAATAATAATATATATTGAAAGCAGTCAACTTTTTTTGTCCTTTTTTTTTCGTAAAACGAAACATCTCCGTATACGCAGATCTCTCAGTAACAAAAGTACAAAAGCTACCTTTCACAATGTGAAAAATTGAGGTATTGCAAAAAGGAGTTTCCCCATATTTGTGAAAAATGTGCCTAAAATGACTGTTTGGGAAAAAAAGACAAAAAAAAGGAAGAAAAAAAAAAAGAAATATTTAGAAAAGTAGTGCATAATAAATGTTTATATGTGCATGACAAAATAATTTAGCTAGAAAACACTGTACCAAAAAATCAGCAGGCCATGTATAAAATAATCTTTTTTTTTCTTCTCATTTAAACAGCAAATTCTTCACAAAGTGTTTTTTTTTTACTTCTAAAATGCTCACCCGAAAAAACTGACGCTCGGGGCGCAAAACTACACCCCCTCCCTCCGCCCCGAAGATATGAGGATTCTCACTAGTGTGTGTTAATAAATCAAGTTTCGGTACTAAACTCCCTGACATTTAAATGCTCGGCTAGAAGGTCGCCACGGTGACACCAAAGAAAAGATATGAGGATTACTTTTCACCTTCACTGTGGGAATGTGCATTTTAAACTTGCAGAAGTGTTTGAGATAAAAAAAACAACAAAAGAACTACACGTGCCTGACAGGGCCACCGCCCCTTTGAGCCGGGGTCTTCATCTGCAAAGCCCTGTTGGATTTTCCACTTATAATGTTTACTGTTGAATATATATCTGCACCGTCTGCATCGTGTTCAAAGGCCAATCTTTGGTTTGTTGAAGTCCACCAGGGCTTGACAGTGAACCAAAAACTGGGTCGGAGTGATGCATTGATGAGCATATATGTAGATAAATAAACTTTAGTTTGTAAAAATAAGGAAGAAAAAAAAACATGCAAGAGACTATCTTCATTTATGCTTCTAAAACACTGGATGCTGAGTTGGACTCACTTGGCAGCAAAAACAAACAAAAAAAACAACACAAAGGATGGAGGGGTCGTTCCCTCCATGAATCGAACGCGTGCCGACGATGTGCGAAGCGGATCAACTCGCACTGCATGCTTTCGCGGAGCGCCGCTTTCACTCCTGGATACAAAAGGAGCACTTCTGTCGTTAAAAGACTCAGGAGAATTGCACAAATGGGTTTTTAATGGGAACCAGCAGAGACAGGGGCTTCCTGTTTGGAGGCAGCCAATCAGGATACTGCTTGGACAGCGCGGAAGAGGAGACGCCTAGCAAATGCACTCGCAGCCCATTAAACCTTTTCACATTTCTGTTTACTTTAGGATTTTATATGATAGGGATGCCTGAAGTAGTATAGAAATTCAAGTAGAAAGAAATGAATCCCTTTCTAAGTTGCTAACGCTACAGAGTCCAATGCAACTTATCTCCACAGGGTAAAACATGGTGGAGGAAGGATCATGTTGTGGGGATGTAGATTGGTAGAGAGTTTCTAGCGTAGCATCGTCCTAACTAGCCAACTCTGCAGTGGAATTAGTTTTGATCAAGGCGTGGCTGTGATAGAAAGGCCCAGTCAAAGTACAGACCTGAATCAAACTGAAGCCCAGACATGGAGCCTCGCTGTGCGGATTGAATGGGCAAAAGAAACAGAAACACCATCAAGAGACTGTGGGCTTTAATAACATGCGAGTTACCAAAATGTGAAAAGGATAGAGAGCGAGGAAATACTTCTAAACGGCGTTGTACCTTCACCTCACGTCCCGAATAATCTGAATCCAAACTCTCAGGTTTTGTGATCCAGCCTCTGTTCCCTGTTAGCTGCTGGTCTTTTCTAGAGCCCACAAGCAGACATGAGGGAAGCAAGGCTGTCTGCATCTTTTCGCCCCACATCACCCCTTAGCCACACATTCCCACACTAAACTGTACACTGTACGATACTTTACCCCTCCCCCCACAGCACAACCCTGGGTTTGATTACAAAAATAAGGAGGTGATGAAGCAAGCGCGTATAAAACTGTGCCTGTTAGGTCGCTCTCTATCTGTTGCATCACTTCCCTCTGATTCTCACAAAGGGAAGCTTAACACCAGTGAGTGGTATTGTTTTTCCTTTTCTCGCTTACTTGCTGTTATTTATCTTCTTAATGTATTCGGCACATTAGCAGCTGAGTTTGAGGTATTGGTTTTTGCATGTGAAAAAATGGAGATCGAAACCCAAATCTGTGTTGCTTGAATTTGTTTTGTTTTTTCTTTCTTTATCCAAGTAACGTCAAAATGTCTGTATGGTCTTGGAACATATAAGAGGGATTTTGTTTTTTGTTTTACAAACAGGAGAAAAAAAAAAGACTCAATTTCTTCCTGTAGTAGGCCCTTTCAGTTCTTCAAAGGTAATTAGGATTCAGCTTTGGTTAACTACAAAAGGGTCTCATATAAGATGTCTTCACTCTTTAAAACAGAAAATAAGTGCACTCTTCTTCAGCAACACCTTTGTTAATCACATTTGCTCTGGAGCCATTTGCAGCAATAGCAAACTAAATCCCACGTCTCCGAAATAAATAGCCAATGATGCACTTTTTCAGCAGCATTTGCTGTGAAGACTTTGTACAAAAGGAAAAAAAAGGCCACAGCTCTGCTACAATATAAGACAGCTGGATGTCAAATCAAAGATGTTTTTAAGGGCCTCTTGTATCAAAAGGAAATATTCTTTTTAGAAAAATATGCCAATTGAATAGCAGAGTACCATATCACACATCAAAACTTTCCTATATTAATATATATTTATATATGTGTGTGTTTTTGAGAACTAATAAAAATATTTCAAAAAGAAGAAAAATAAAATTATGTTACATTTTTTTTTCTACTAGATGGACATATTTGGATACTACTCCAGTTTTTCTCTTCTATCTTCAAAATATCGATATATATTAACTTTAAATAAAACCCAAAAAAAACAAAATGCTGTTAGGTGAAATTAGAGCAAAAAAGGAACCAGCAACAGAAAAGTGCATTTATTTGTACAACGATTTGCGACTCCTCCTGCACTACCTCTCCTTCCCCGGCTCCTCTGTCGCCTCTCCCTCTCCGTCGCTCAGTTCCAGCGGAAGGAGATGTGGCGCGGTCGGTCGCCTCCCTCCTTCACCAGAGGCTTGTGGAACTCGCGGCCGGCGCGGGAGTGGATGGCCGCCCAGCAGTACTCGCAGTAGTACTGCAGGCAGGTGACGTTGGCGCAGAAGAACGGGGCGAACTTGCCGCCGCAGCGGGTCCCCTGGCACTCATCGCACAGCTGGTCGTCGAGCACATATGGCTTCACTTCCACCTGGAAGTCAAGGTAACGATTAGATATTTTGCTTCAGGAAAAGCTGAGGTGATTCAGATTCAGACATTTTTTTATTTCAACATTTCATACTTCTTAGTCATACCTACTTAATTTATTTATTTTTTCTTCTTTTCTAGAGCAATAAAGCTTTAAATACTGAACCTGAACTTAGCAGAGACCAGGAAAGAAGGAACAAACTAGAGCTGGGCAATATGGCTTCAAAATCTAATCTCCATTTTTTCCCCCGTATAAAATCCAATAAATCGATTTAATTGAATCGAATAAAAACAACAGACATTACTTTTAGCAACTATCCGTATTTCAAACATCCCCTTTTGGAGGTGACCTCCATTTAAAGGGCAAAGAAATGCACGCTGTGAGATGCTGTTAAAACAAAAACAAACAAACTAAATGTTTGCAGGTGTGGCGTTATATCCTCAGCTTATCATTGCACATCTAAGAACAAAAAGTGATGAATTGATGCCACTCTGAGATATATCGTAATTTTTCCACAAATGACATTTGCGAAAAAATAAAAATCTGAAAAAAATTTAAAAAATCAAATCTTCATAAATGAATAATTATATTCATTGATATTAACAATTAATCACCCAGCCCTAGAATGAACAAAGGAACAAATAATAAAATACTCATTTATCTTGTCTTCAGAGATAATTTCTTATATTAAGCATCCAAATTTAAAATCTTAATCCAATAAATTTTGTCAAGTAAAATAATTTTACTCAATTGACAGATAATTTCTCTTCTTTTGAGAAGTTATTCATCAGATTTTGTGGGTTTTTTTTGGTTGACCTTTTTTGCAGGAAGTTTATTCCTAGCAGTAAACTTCAGCTTTTTTTGTATTTGCTATAAGACCATGTGACAGGAAGATTGCATATGCATAAAATGAGTAAACAACAGTGCAAAACTGTTTTTAAAAATAAGTAAAAATTCCTTATTGGTGTATCTATCCTCCATTTGAACAGGTCCATAAAATGATCTGTCAATAGAATGAGATTGCATCCCCTAAAAAACATCGGTAGATCATTTTACTTGCCTACTGAAATGTTTCTTTTATAATATTTGACTTTTATGTCACCCTTTTGCAATAAAGGAAGCAATGCAACCAACAAGTTAGGAACATTAAGTCGAGGTAAAGACACAGAAGAAAAGAGGGATAAGATACAAATAGCCTTGATGTTCCCTGAAGCACAAAGTAAAGCTGCAGAAGCTGCCAAGCTAATGTCGCAATACATTCTTTTCAGGCTTAAAAACAGTAAACATTATAAATGTGAAAACTCAGTTTACAGTTTTTGAGGGGTTTTCTTATACTGTAGGAATATTCTGTGACGGAGCCCCTCTAATATGACCACTGCAATTATTTACTTTATGATACATCAAGTCTTAAATAAAAAATCTAAAATCAAAATAGGTAAACCTCAGAAAAGGTACATGATACCATTAATCGGATACTTTGATAACAGAATAAATATATTTCCTACTCCAATTGATTCAGCTAAAAACAGTTGCTGACAGCAGACGTATGAAGGTAATAATGTGAGCCAGAGGTCATCCCTAAAGGTCATCAAGTACCTGCCATACAAGGCTGCCATGTTTTTTTTTTTTATTTAATTCATAACCGGATATCTGTTTTTCTCGCAACACTAGTTCTGAACTATGACATAACTAATATTTAATAATACGGTAGTGTAAACATTTGTTCAAATATTAGTTTAACTCAATATTGCTTTTATAGCTGATTTTACAGTTTTGTAATGATATGAAAAAGTGTTTTATTTTATGACAGTTTTCTGCTTATTTCTCTTTTTTTTCGAGAGCAGATTGTGTTTTGAACTGTTAACAGAGTTGGCATTATGCTGGTAGGTAGATATTACAAAACTGCTCAGTATAACGAAAATCTACTGTTCAGTAGTAGCTCCGTCTGCTTGATTTTAAAGGGATCTTGACTTATTCTCTCTGCAAATGTGGAATAAAAAAGTATAATTAAGGGGTTATGTTAAATGTGAGCCGGTCCAGCAGATATTGGTGTGAATCCACGACTAACCAGCCAGAAACAATGAAAGAACCACCTGACTAGAAGTGGAAAGTGACACTGAGAGGAAGCAGAGATCGGAGGTTTTTTTTAAAAAATGACAGTAGAAAAAAGAAGTGCTACTGGTACTATTGTTTCTCAGCTAACACTCAGAAATGTCACCTGTAGTAGCAAAAAAATAAATAAAGTGTTTATGGAGCTCCAGCAGAGTGGGAGGGGAAATTTCAGCACCTTTGTTCCAGATGTAAAAATCCTATTTACTGCTCCCACACACAATTTTGTGACTCACAGTTGTAGCACATCTACAGCTTGGATCAGCGCAGATCCTTCGGTTTGAAAAAAACAAATACAAAGCTCTTCAATTAAAACACCAAAGATGGGACCTGGTAAGAGTCAGGGGGAAAAAAAGAAAAAGAAAACCGAATCTTCAATTCCAAATCTTCATAGTGAGGAGCTATAACTGTGACCCATCCTCCATCTGCACTCTACTCTTTAACTAGGAAATAAAAAAATATTCATCATTAAAGGAGTTGAAATAAGAAAAAGGAATTAGTCTTGCTTCCAACAAGCTAATTTATTTTAGGTAAGAAATAACATTCTTTGTTCATGAAGAAGAGAAAGGCAGTTTGGTTTGAGATAAAGGAACAGGAAGTAAGACTGTGGCGTTAAGATGACTACAGAAAGGGGCTCTAAGAAGGAGAGGGAGAACATAGAGGCTCCCTTTTCTTCCCACTCACCCGTTTATCGATTTCTCCGTGCTGCAGCTGTACAAAGCGAGCACTGATAGCAGCAATGTAGCTCTGCTGATTAGAGAAGGCGACCCGCCCCGCTCCCTTGGGGTACTTCAGTTCTGGGTCTGTGTCGATGCCTGCGTAGCAAACGCCGCCGTACAGGCGGTCCATGATCATGGCCAGTTCCACTGAGGGAAAAAAAAAAGCATAGTTGTTGTCAAAGGTTAACTAAAAGGAGACGCGGAGTAAAAAATGGTCAATTGGGCACGACTGACACAATTCTAACTTTACAGTCTAGTATTCACACTCTTTGAACTTTTTTATACCTCCCATCATATTAAAACCATCAGCATAAATATATTATATTGACTTTAACAGGATCTCTTAACAACAAAGCAAAGCAAAGCTCTGACCACTTGCATAGATGGATTATAATACTTTTTTATCAATGAAAATCCTAATGTGGTGTGCATTTGTCTTCAGCCTCCATATCAGCTTTACACAAGGACCAACTTCTGTCTCTGTTTTTTTTTTTTTTTTTTTTTTTTTAACAATTTCTATGGCTTCAGATGATTCGTATTTGAAGTAGAGCTAACATCAACGTTTAGGTCTGGACTTTGGGCCATTCTAACACTCTAGTTATAGCACTGGCTCTATTTTTAAGTTTGTTATCCTTCTCCATTCTCAATTCTTTAGCAAGAATGTTTCTTCTAGGACTGCATGCATTTAGCTTCATCTTTCTTTAATTTTCTTTAACATCTAACGTACCTCTTGATTTGTGCATATGTGTTTGTTCTGTGTGCAAGCTGTCTTCTCCACCCTCTAATCAATGTGGGCAGAAAGCCATTTAAATGAAGCATGGTTCTACTGGAGGTTTTTCCTCTCCATGGTCACTGCATGCATGCTCAGTATAATGTATTGCTGTATTAATGACCCAATGCAAGTGGCTGTCCACTGTTTTAAACACTCATCCAGGAGGATGTGCTAAACAGCTTCCCAGTCCCTGCTGCAGAAATGATGTTGCAACACCGTGTTTCATGATGAGCAGTTGTAGTTTCCTGATAAACAGGATAGGCTTGCACACTACCATTTGTTGCACCATGATGTGGCACTAAAATTATGTTTCATGCGACAGCTTCTTTATTAGATAAACAGACTGTGCACACTGGCATCTTGAGCCACCTTTCGAAGATGGTGGACAGTTTTACATTGACAAGAAAACACAAACAAAATAACAATATTTCCTCATTAACATGACAAAAGAAAAGGCAAAAATAGAAAACATATTTGCATTTTTATTATAAAGTTGATGTGTCAATAGCTGTGGGGCAAACACAAATAAACAAAGATTTCATTTTAACCTCCATCTTTGAAGGGATTGCCTTAGGTTGTCTCATGCAAAATGGGAAATTTGATTCCTTTCTTTTAACAATCACTTTATTTCCCATGTTTAATAACCTCTAAATTTGTTGGATGCACAACCAACAGCTGTTTGGTCAACTGATTTTTCATCAAGAGCTGAAGACGTCTGCTGCTCCTCCTGAGTTGCCATAAGATTCTAGGCTTCATCTCTGATAATAATCTGCTGTTTTTCTTCTGGTTTTTTTTCCGCTTAAATCCTTATATTACAGGGGCTTGCATAATATTTACTGTGGATGACCTCATCTACTACTAGAGCAACCAAATGAAGGTTTACAGCTCAACAATCAGCAGTGCAGTCGGGAACTAATAGTACAAATACCACTGCTACCAGAATAGAAAAAACATTTTAATACACTAAACGGCTCAGCAGGCAGCAAAGAGCTCATTTTAATACCGTCAGGTGCTTTAGTACCAAGCAGGCCTGAAAATACTGCAGAGAGGAGTAAAAAATAAACAGGAATGAAATAGAAAAGGTACTAGATGGAATGTATTATTAAGAGAGAGAGAGATGAGGACCAAACATGAGAAACATTTTAGGGACCTTTCATAAAGGACTCAAAATATGGGTCATGGATGCTTGAAATTTGGCCCATATGCACAGTGCGTACCTTCAAATGTTTGCATTATAAATATTCACTTGTTTTCAATGTAACTTCAAGAAAAACAATGAGCCGGAGGATACCTGCACGGAGCGGACGAGGAACTCCTCCCACAAAGATGGTTTTTCTCGGATCCAGAGGCTGAGATCCATCCATCACGAAATCGCTGTCGTTCAGGTTCCACGGGCGGATCTGGACCTGATGCATGCATTAAACACACGCACAGAAAGTGTTGGAATTTCAATAAAGCAGTTCCTAAAGTCATTAAAGCTAGAAGAACAAAAAGGAAACGTGCATCACTCTGAACGAACCGGCTTATCTTTAATGGTGGGGCTGGAAACACACAGGTACAGTTTGCCATCCTCCTCGATGCAGGCGTCAATCAAAGCCTGCACCGAGCTTTCATCCTGGAACAGCAGGAAGGCATATCCTGCACCAAACAGAGGTAGGTCATTCAAACACACCGATCCACATAGTACTGACACAGAAGGTGGAAATTAGCAGGCATCTTGCATCAACTGTGTATGGGATCTCCAAATTCATCCCTGTGTTCTACACCATGAGGCAGTCAGCCTGACAGGTAGAAACTTTGCAAATGTGATCGAAATTGATTCAGATGAGCACCTAAAGTTACAGCTATGTGGATGAAGCAAATCTTACAATACCTTTAGGTGGAAAATAGGACTTGCTCTCTGCTTTGTGAGGCCAGTCCACAAACAGGTGTCCGAAACGCCGGAAACTGGCAGTTATCTCATCTGGAACAGAAATGAAAAGGATCAGTTTAAATATTTACATAAGACACCTCAGATATACCAGTAAAACAACTGTTAGGTTTTAATAGTAATGTTTGTACCTTCGTCTATGTCTGGTGGCAGTCCGCCAACAAAGACCTTCCGCGAGTAGCGTTCCACGCGCTCTCCGTTCTGATGCGGGAAGCAGTGGGGGGAGCCGAGGCCCGCCAGGCCCTGATCAGCCCGCTCGTCGTCGGGGAAATTATCCTCCATTGGAAACAGAGAGGAGTGGCCTGTGAGAAAAGAAAGAGGTCAGAGTGAATCGACTTCCCTTCATGAGCAGAAAGGGGTAGAGATGAGCTAAGTTGTGGTGGAGATGATGTTTTCATCAGATTTTTTTTTACTTTTCAGTGGTGCATGAAAGAGTGAAAACTGAGGAGAGGATAGTTCTCTCTTCTTCCTTTGATACAGCATCATGTTTAAATGTTTCTTACATTTAATGATTTGATCAAAGACCTATACTAATGACAACTGAAACAAAAGCGTTTGGAAAGCTCAAGAGAACCACCTGATATTAAAAAAATACAAATACAAATGAAAAACAAAAAACGAACAACCCGAAAATGTCAGCGTTTAAGGCAGGCAGGTAGAGGTGCAGAAGTATTCATACCAAATCAGTTTCTTCTCATTTTATAAAGTAACAATCACCAACTTCCACTTAGTTGTTGGCCTTTTATGTGAATTAAACATTCACATAATGAGAAACTAATGAAAAAAATGTGTATTATATATTATATTATATGCCTCATCAGCTTTATAGGTTAAGCGTCATCAGTCTTCTATATTCTCTAACAAGGTTTCTTTCAAAACTGGCTCATTTTTAGCTGCATGCATCTTTCTATCAGTTCTGACCAGCAGGCAGCTGTCCCTTTTAATAAATGATTCCCCTGCATATTATCTGCAAACCATGTGCATTTGTGTCTAAAGGTAATTTACTGCCACATATTCATTTCTTTTCCTATGAGTCCTATGAGTCCTTTCAAATTTTCCTATTGCTTGCATGGCAACCTACATGACTGATGTGGAAACTGTAAGCAAATCCTTTATAGCTTTCTGTCACCAGCTTTATTTTTTTAACAACTCACCCATAAAGGCATAATTTAAGGCATGAAAACATTTAATTATTATGTCAAGAGCCTCCATAAAACATGTAGATCCCTGCAGCTCCTCCAGAGTCACCAGGGGCCTCTTTGCGAGGAGGAACTTCAACTGATTTGTGGTTTCAAAATGTAAAATAAAAGTGGTATCAATACTTTGTGATAGGACTGTAATGGAAATACTTGATCAACCCCAAAAGTAAAGAAATATGTGTAAAAATAAAATTTAAATACCGTAATAAAATTTCTTAATTTGAATGATTTTCCCATGAAGCATGCAAGGGGATTCAGTGAACATGCAGGTTTAATCAGATGAACACAGTGGTCCTATTAAATCTGAATACTTTCAGTGTGGAACATGTGGAGGCTACACCTCCTCATCTGAACTGCCCAGAACTGGTTTATAAAGGTTTATGCAATGAGGCCAGTCTGAACTTCTACGTGTGACGTGTGCGCGCTCCTGCCGCAGAGCTGAGTGAATGACATACGATGCTTTGTGCGCCTCACTGCCTCATTAACTCACTGCTAGATGTAACACTGACTGCAAGTTGCAAACTGTAAGTGAGGAGAGGAAATATGTGAGCTACTGAAGCCTAATGAGAGGAAACGACAGTTTCAGAAGTTCATAACAGGATTACATTTAGATGACTTGGTACACACAAAAAAGTTCAAAACCAACATGCAGGTAGTGTGAAATAAAACATAAAACTATTCTTTAAATAGGAAAAAAAATAAACTTGGTTAATAGATTTTAAAGATGTGAAATAAAACAACGCACAGAGAATAAAATACATTATATAAATGTTTACCTCGTCTCCTGCTATAATTCCTGGCTGCATGTGGAACGAAGGGAAAAATATATCAAAGGAGAGGCTGTTTGTAAATGTGGCATAAAAACCTAATTAATAACAGTGCTAGGTGGTTCATGACAATGTCCACAACAGTTAGTCAGTCTGGTTACGTTTCTTTCAATTAATCAGCTTGGAATTATAATCAAAGTGCAGCGCTGCTCAGACAGATGGTTATCAGTTTATCTAAGCAGAGACAAAGTGGTTCATTTCACTGCTTATAGCTTTGGTTTGGGATTTAACTGATATGGAAAAATGAACATAAGACTCTCCACCATGTATGGAACACTGAAATAATACATCAGGAAAAAGATCCGTCAAAGTTTATTTTATGTATTAATACATCTCAAAAGGCTATGCAGACAGAAATATATTCTCAGGGTAGGGATGCACGATATTGGGATTTTGGCCGATATCCGATATGCCGATATTTTAAAACTCATGTAGCCGATAACCGATATCGATACTGATGTTAAAGCTGGACAAAAATAAGTAGTCATTGAAAATAGCAGTTTTGTTATCCATTTCTGAAACTTTGAAAAATAATATACTCAAATATATTTTCATATGCTGATATCAAATAGATTTTTAAAAACGCAGTATCGATCTATTTTACTTTAAAAATCTCGTGAAATTTCTTTGTGAGATTTTGTTAGTAAAATAGATCGATACTGCGTCAGTATATCAACATATAAAAATATGGCAAAATTTTGTGAATTTTCGGGGGATTTCGTAGCATAACGATGACATATAGCAATATTTCATTAGTAAAAGAGATTGATATGGTGTTTTTAAATGGAAATATATCAGCATATGAAAATAATGTGATATTTTAATGTATCAATATTTTTTCCCTCGTCTTTAGAAGTTTTTAAGTCTAAAAAAGAAGTTTTTGAGGAAGAAGAAGAAGTAGTATTTATTTATTTTTTTTTTTTAGACTTTAGAAACTCAGAAGCTGATCAAATATCGGGTTAAATATCGGTGGGGTGGCCGATGTCCGATATTCAGTTTTAAGGCCGATACAGGCCCATACCGATAGGGGGCCGATTATATCGTGCATCCCTAACTCAGGGAGTGCATTTCTGTTCATTTTCATAATTAGAAATTCAGTTTCTTATAAATTATTATAATAAGAATAATAATTTATAAGAAATTATACATTTTTTTATAAATTTATAACAAAATTTATAAGGGGGGGGGGGGGGGGTTATTCCACACATCCAGCTTGTCTACATCACCCTTTTTATCACTATACAGAGGCCATCAATCAGAATGAGAAAGATTGGAAGAACAATAGAGCAAAATACAATTGAAGTATAATAAGATAGAAAAAAAAGTAAAATGACTAAAAATTAGTACAATTACAACCCACACAGTAAACATCAAGAACAGTTATTAGATCATTAGAGTGTGTTCCCTCTGATGTCCCGATTTGTTCCAGCTCCACTGATTTTGGAACCGGTAAAAAACTGTTTTTATTGTATTTCAAATGACGTTGATTCTGTCTCCCTATTCTTCCATCGAGCTCTGAGGTGTCAATTTTAAAATAAAATGCTAAATGTACTTTAACTAAAATGCGTGAGGCCAGTGAACAGTTCCCTCTACTTTCTGTTTTGATCAGATGGTTTTATTCTTGTGTCGTCTGTAAAACAGTGGTGGCTTAAAGCCAGGAATGTTGTAGCTTATGTCACAAATATGTTACGGCTGGTGAGGCATTGCAACCTTTACTTTGTTAAGTTGACTTTTATTCATAATCTGCAGTTTTCCTCGATTCCTGTACTTGTTTATCAACTATGTTTTTCCTTTCACTGAACTTCCATTGATATGCTTGATACAGCCCTCTAGAGAGAGAGCCTCTTATGCAATGACCTTGTTGACTTTCCCTCTGAAAAATGGTCAAGTCAGCAACTTTCTTCATAATTGGACAAGTCAGGACATGATTATTTCATATTTCTTTTGTTTTTAACATTTTTTTTTTTAACAAAGAAAAAAAAATTCAGAAAAACTGACATTCTGGACTCAATTAGCTGACAGCCAGACATCTAAATCAACTTAAGGGTATCATGCCGAGTATAACAACTGCATATGATTTTACATTATGTTTTATATTAAAGACATAATTTTCAATGACATTCTAAATTACTGTGAGGCGCCTGGGCAGTTTGCTCATTTATGCAAAAAGATGGGAAGAAGGAGGGTCAGCTCAGTTCAGCAGTGAGGATAATAAAAAAAGAATGACTTTCATTCAACACAACAGGTATTAACATAAAAAGTGAGGCAATTAAAACACAATGTAATAAAGCCCACAGGAGGTGCTACAACACAGAGTTAAAGGACTGAATCAGGCCCAAATAGGCCATTGTAACCCTGGAGACACCCGAAGCTAAACCTGGAAATGTAGCATAGCTGCAAAAAGAGCGGTTCTCAGACATATCCAAGAAAAGCACTGTGATTGGACTTTAATCTTCATATTTGATTACTTAGGCAGTTTAAGCAAAACAACATCCAACATATCCATTTTACTCAGCTTGACTGCAGAGTAATACAAGATGGTAAGTGTGCACAATCATAGGCTACAGTGGGGGGAGTGTGCTGCCTTTGAATTAATCATGCAGGGAACAAGAGGAAGGCGGAAATGATCCAGAAACTAAAAATCATTCCTTAATCCGATCACAGCCAATCAGGGGACTGCTTCCGATTCAAAGATTCAGTCAGTAGTGAGAGAAACTCTGAGGCATGCAGCTGTTCAAGCATTCCCACTCTGACAACGGGGCGTTTTTTTGTTTATTAAATAAAGAATTGGACAACGTAAAAGCATTTGAAGCATCATTTGGGTGGACGGTATAGTAAAGGCAAAGAGAGCCAATACAATCTAGAACTGAAAGAACAAGGAATGGGTAAAGAAGCGGAGGGGCAATATTCCTCCCTCAGTGGACATTCCAAACCAGATGGACATTAACTCTGCTGGGGAAGGTCAACGGCAGCCAGAAACGGAGAAAAATAGTGAGAGGCAGTAAAGCAGATTGAAAGAGAGCAGAGCGTGCTATAAAAAGATGTGTGTGCGTGCGTGTGCGAGTCTGAGTGAGAGAGAGAGGGAAAAATAGATTAGAAGCGATGGAGAAATGAGCTGATAAAAAGCTGTGTGGGGGTGAGCGAAAATGAGAGTGACTGGAGGGGAGAGAGGATGGGGGGGATGAAGAGAATGAGGAAAGCAATCTGCGTATCCTTATGAGGCAGAGAGAGAAAACCAGGGCTGGTGTGCAGCCTCTATCCGCTGGCACCATCTGTCTCAGGGCACGATGACAGCTCCTGACCATGTGATGCAACCATGTGACCGAGCAGGCTTTTCAAGAAATTACAGGCAGTTCCTGCTTTACCCGCCAGCCGAAGCTCGGACAGATTAAGGTAAAACACCACAACCATGCAACCACTTTAAGGTGGTTTATTTTGTCGCAATGATTCCCTGAATACTGAAGCACCACAGGAGATGAACTAATTCTAGAGAAGATCTGGACATCTTCCACACAAAAGTCTCTGGATCTTTTAAACTGATGCTTTCTGTTAACCATTCTGCTCATTACATTTCTTACACCACTCCACAACCTTATCGAATTCAAAAGAAACAGAAATGGCAAAACCAGTTAGAAAAAATAGTGAGCTTGTAAGCCTAAACCTATTTGCAACACAGAAAGGCTAAATAAAATGCTTCAAATTGGTATTTACGAACCACCCGCACCACCCTAATTAAAATTTCATCAGAATACATAGAAAGACACAGCTGCCTTCCATTCAACCCACACGGGAACTTGCTCAGAAAAGGTGAAAAGTCTACATGGAGTTGAACGAAAGGACGAACCAGTTGTATTGGAACAGAAACAATAGGCTAAAAATATCAACAATCTGATGCATTTCTCTGTCTAGATAAGAACAAGAGGCAGGGATTTACACGGTTTGAAGACAAGTCGAACATATTTAAAGAAAAATTCCCAAAAATGCCTTCCTTTTTAAAAATGTTGGCAGGAAATATTAGAAGAATGCTATTTTATCAAGCGTAGCCATGCTAACTGCTTATATAACATGTTAGGAAAGTCAAATGATCAAGTCTTCTTTATTTGTCTAACTACCCTGTTTTACTTCAGCTTTTCTCTCTAACTAAAATCTAAACAAGATGAATTACACCGGTAAAAATAAAAGTTGCTCCTACTATAACTAGGCATGTTGCAGGGAACCTAAAAAAGACTGCGTATGTAAAAGATAAGATGTTCCAACAGGTTTGGAACATCTGAAAAAAAAAAATGTGCAGAACGTGTGCGTCTCTGGAAGTTTAAGATTGGAGTAAAATAAAGACGAAGTTCTAACCCATTGACATGGATTTTAAAATTATTATTTGGAGAAATAGCATAATAATAATGTCAAAGTCTATTTATAGTCCACTCTAGTCCAAGTATCTCCAAGTACTGTGCACAAAAGTTCCTTTTAAAAGATTAAATATCCATCTAGGAAACATGGAAGAGGGACAAAAAACCCTCTTACATATTAGGGACAAACATTTTCAGGCCAAAATTCAGACGTCTTTACTTTGGAGTTCCAAATTAAATGAATATATTAACGCTTTATATTCACATTAAATCTTTATGCTGACTTGTATCTTTAATTTTCAGGGATAGTAGACATTTCTTCTTACAGTGTAGTTTACTATACATACCATTATGGGGCAAAGGGTTGTCACCACCGGGGTGAGGGAATCCCAGACGACCTACACAGAAAAACGGAATAAAAATATTCATGACAAAATACCATCTCTATTTTAACTCCATGACAGGACCATAACATAAATGGAAACTAAAAAAGCAAAGAGCTTGCAATGTATACTTTGTCTCTAATTAGGCTAAGAGCTACCATGATAAGATGATAACGTAATCCGCTGCAGCACATGAGCATATAAAAGATAAGATACAGGAAACATGTAACTGTATCTGACTTTTTTTCTTTTTCGGTTAAAAGTGGGTAATGACATGATCCACGCATCATGTCAAGACTTCAGGAAGCTGATAAGCAGTTTAAATTGCATACATCTAAAGTATCTAAGGTCAAAGGGAAATGCAATGATATTGACCATGTTCTTTGACCCAGCACCTCCAGGTTGTGTTAACAGGCTGACATGTTATCATGGACTATCTGCCACAGCCAAACATTTCCACCTTGGCAAAGAAAAGCCGAGAACATGCTTGCAAACACAAAAAGATTCCACATTGCATGAACGCCTGACTAGGTGAATTCCAACGGAAAATTCCAGTTCATTTTTCAGTGGATGAAAACGACGAGTAGGAATGAATGCACAAATCTGTCTGACTTTCTGACCATTTGCAAGACGAAAAGATCATACAATCAAATAGAACAAAAATGTGTATGTTTCTCGATAGTTTTTTCGATATAGGTGGCAGTAATATGCTTAAAATTGGTTTGCCGCTACACAGAAGGGGAGAAAAAGTTTCAGCTAGAACACAGATCAGGCATATCAGTAGGTTTAAGCATTTTATCCACACAACAGTACCAGGAAAGTCCTGTGACAATGAACTCTGGACTCTAGCAAGCTTTCAAGGTAACGAAAACAATGGACCCAGGAGAAAAACAACTTCATGGTCAGGATTAGTGCAGAGGAAAATCAAAATAAAATCACAATTTTGGTTTAAGAGCAGGATCAAATAAAAAAAAATTATAAGTTAGCAAAATCATTCAGTCCTATTAAATCTTAGGTTTGCCACTTTTAAGTTGAAAAGGTCCTTTACTCTTCTGGGTAGGCCTAATGTTATGGCAGCTCTACGTTAATGTGTGCTAATCTACAAACTCACATTAAGCACAAACAAAAGACGGATCAGTTTTGCAACCCTTTCCTCACAATGTCTTTAAATCATGACAACAATGCAAGTTATCTACTACCAGATGTTTTGATAATACAACCTGAGATCATGTCCATGAAATCCAAAGAGGCTTTAAAAATGGGCAGCAATGTCTCGGTTAAACCTGAACAAAATTAGTTATTTTGGTATTCAATAACTGCATACCCCTTTAAACCAACCCAGGTACCACAAGGTTGTGATCCTCCTATTTATCTTCCCCCAAAAAATACACGTTAACCACACAACAAAACTCCAGTTACCCCATCTGGAACAAGGGGAGCGTTGAGATCTGATGCTACTCTTAAATCTTTAAGACAAAAAAATACTTTGCTTCAGAGGTTTTACAATCAGTTAATGATCCCTTTCAACAATTCTTGGTCTGGTACCCCCAGACTGATAAAAAGAAAGAATGAGGACCTCCTCGCCATGGCAAGTTTTTAAACAGCTGACTGAGATGGGCTGACAAAGGTATTAACATCAGATGTGGGGGACTGGGTGCTGAAGAAGATGTAACCTGTTAAACTAAGAGGGTTTTAGAACAATTGTCTGCATGAAAAAAATTGAAATAACAGAATAGCTTTTTGCAAAACGTTGGTACTACGCTCTCCTCTACGCTGTTGTCTGCTGGGCCCCTGGCAGCGCAGAGCGGGAAAGTGGCTGAACAAACTAGTGAGAAAGGCCCGTTCTGTTCTAGGCCGTGCTCTGGACTCAGAGGAGGAAGTGGCTGAGGGGAGGGTGCTGTCCAAGCTTACATCCATCATGGACAACACCTTCCACCCTCTGCACCAGACTGTAGAGGAGCTGAGCAGCTCCTTTATTGAAAGACTTTTACACCCAGTATAATAATCCTGCTTAAAAACCAAACGCATCCATGCACCTTTTCTTCCTTTGGCAACTTCTTCTTTTTAACAATTTGAGCCAATGCAACAAGTCAATTTCTCCACTATGAGATCCATAAAATCAATTATGTAAAGGTAACGCATACAAGTCTTCTTTAAAGATGAAGCAGGTAGTTTTAATAGAAGTAGAAATAGAATAGAATACATGAATTGTGTTTCATGTATGGGGATCTGGTTTGTCAAGATTTCCCTATATTTATATTTATTTTAATCTAAACACCCCTTCCATGTCTTTGTGACCCCCTGTAGTACATCTGTTATCAGCCAATTCAACCCAAGTCACTAAGCGACTTTCGCAGTAAATCTAGAAACTTTTCGAACCCTTCTATTAATTAATTTTTTTTTAAAACAACTTGACAATTTTTTTTCTTTGCTGTTGGTAACTTCACAGGAGTTTCTGTCCTCAGCTTACAGCGCTGTTCACAGCTGAGCAGCAAGCTATTGAGATTCTCAATAGTGTATATGTATCTTTGAAATAACCTAAGTCAGTTACTGTAGGAGCAGGTTAGTATCAGTCAAGTTAATTCTAGTGGATATAATATGTGATTACAAGTACTATAGTACAACAAATAAGTACTTTCATTGCTTATTCTGAAAAAAGAGCAAGTTGAGTAAAGCTTCTATTAGAAGTAATACCTTAAATTAAATATTTATTTACGTCTGTTTTTTGGCTGGGGCCAAAAACTCAAGTGTGGTGGTCAGGTGATTTTTGTTCTTCCTGCAGTGCAGATCAACTGACAAGAATTACTAATATTCTCTTCACTGAAGTCATTTTCAAAAGTGCATTAGGTGCTTGGTGGCAAAGTTTTGCTAGAACAATATATATTTTATTTTTACACTTTAAATATAAAAGCAATATAGCTATTAAAGTCAACATCTAATAAACAGCAAACTATTTGGTGGATCTTTTTAAACCCATCTCAATTACTTCTGCAACAATTCTATAAAGTCCTCAAACAGCCACTACCAAGAATTTATAGTAAAGAGATCAATGTGAGATCAATAAAGTGAATCAATCAATCTGAAGGAAATAAGCAACTACGAAGAAGAAATAAGCTTATATGCAACAGCTGAATCACAATGTGTGTTTACAGGTACCAGAAAGAGAAAGACCAAACTAAATGCTAATATATAGGCACTTAGTGGGGTACAAATTATCTAGCCCCAAACTGACTGTGAGCGCCTTCATCTATATTTTCTTGTTTTTTTTCACATATTTAAAATAATGAAACTGAGATAATCTCATTCTTTACTAGATACCACATCATCACAATATCAAAAAACACTCTTGTTCTAAATAAACCCTACTTTCCCATTTGTATCCTCATACCATACTTTTTTACAATGGGTCATTTTCTAGGGCCACCTCCCAACCACAAACACACAAATAACGTGTTATGATGCCAAACAAGCTTCAAAGTTATGCAAGGCCCGCTTGCACAAAAAAAAGGATCATGAGATGAAAGGGCTGAAATAGTGCAGCCATTGTTGTATTGGTACGGACCGCCTGGTGATTGGTGCATTCCGATGCCCCCTGTCACAAGGAAATCTGCGGGCCCCTCCCCCACACTCTGCAAACTGAACTCACAGTATAGAGGAAGCAGAACTGTAGGGACTGACCCAAGCAGATAGAAACAGCAGTCTGTTTATCCTCTGCAGAATTTACCCCTTCATCTTCCCTGGTGGATTACAGTGGTGAGAAACAGAAGGTGAAAATAGTTACACCAACCAAATCTTCCAGTTCCACAAAAAAAAAAAAAAAAAAAAAAAGACTGTCAAGCTGTATTTAAACCTGGAGCCTCGAAGGTGATAACAGGTAGCCTACAGCAGAACCCAAGTATTTCTGCAGGGTTGTATGTGGCTGCTTTGCGAAGCTCATTTGCATGCTGCTGGCTCCACACAAACAGTGCACGTTAAAGCACATGTATGAACAAGTTCACACAATGCAGTGGTGTGTTAAAGAGCGCTGGATGAACAGAGGGATCCTTTCTGTCAGTCAGAACAATGGTGGAAGGGATTCAAAGCCTCTTCTATAGATATTTGGTGTTGCCCTTCTTTTCTTGCTTTGTTGCCATTAAGTTTGTTTAAAAAGTCAATTTCAAATGAGAAATTTAAAGATTGGTTTAGTCTGTGTTTTCTGTATACATGGATGTAAATGAGTGAATCATTATGAACATAAATAACAGTTCTACAGAGCAAAAGTAAGTTATCAAAGCAACATCTTTTACTATCCTGTGTGGGAAAAAAGAGCAAATTTACTCAAGCTACACCCATCATACTACAGCACAAGGCCGCACCATAATTATGAAAATTATGACTGTAAAATTTTATGGCTGCTAAGAGCTGCAGGTCGGATGAAAGGATAATAAGTGAGGAGGATAATTTGGTGTTCTTCGTCGTTTCACCACTGTGCAGCATACTTTTCACTTTAAGAACAATGCAGAGTATGATAAAAAGGAAATATGAAGGAGCTAATGTGCTGTGATGCATTAAAGTCTAAGCAGAACAAAATACTAGCTTCATAGAAATGTACTTTGCTAGTTGGTGAGAGGTATCCATTCTATTAAAGGTAAGTAAGATGAACACAGGATTATAGCTGGATGTATGGGAGTTTTGTTTGATGATAGAAGTTGTACATAAGATAATCAGCCTAAAGTTCAAAGCTTTAATCATTTTCTTATTGTAGCCGTGACACTAATTTTATGTGTTTTACAAAATGACACGTTTTAAGGAGACTTTATGGTGCTCATTGGGACATAAAAAGATTTGATCTGTTCCTCCATTTTAATTTTTTTTTGGCCAAGCCTCCACTTTCATAAAACTAAAACTAGTGCTAGCTTTACCCCTTCCAATACACCATTCTGCCACTTTACTCAACTCTTAACTCTCTGCTAGCTTTGGTTCCAAAGCCAAGCAAGGTTATCTAACTAAACAATTACAGTAAATAACTGCCTCTTACAACAAGGACTAAGCTTGGCATGGTCAAAATGTCGGACTGATTCTGAAATAAAGAATCTGTGTCTCAGCTAACCTCTTTTCTGTTTTATTACTTCCATTCATGTAATGATTTCCAGTCAATGCCCTGCAAAAAGCTGCTGTCACCGTTTCTGTTTAAAGCTGAATCTATTAAAAGGCACTTTGGATTACATCTATAAAAACTGCTAAGAATTTTCTTTTTTTAACCGGGACCTGGTGTTAATAAATCTTGTTTAAAACAAAGAGAAAACCCCTTTTCTTTAGTTCTTTATTTTAATATTATTTATATTAAGGCTCACTAAAAACCTGGACTGTAGCTTGAAATGGAGCCCATATATTATTAAACTTGCTACCATAAATGAGTCTGGGTTTATAATTCCTGCTGGAAATGATGTGCACTACTCCTGTTTGCAGCACCATCTATAAATGCAAATCATACTTAGATAGACGGGCCCTTTGCAAGGGGGCAAGGTACTCAAACCAATGATTTGAACTAATACAATCATTTTCCTTTTCTTGTAACAAAACTATATGGGCAAAACACAAACATGGCTGCAATGGGAAATGCAGCCTTGTGATGTGCTAGACTTCTAATTCCCTGGATAAATAAGGACAAATTTAGTCAGTATGCATCACCTAAAGGATAACGCTAAAGTATAGCCCACGTCAAAGGTATAACTAATTCAACCAGTTCCTCCCTGCCAACCAAGGGAGGAAAGAGACAGTATTATTTTATGGCTAAGTATTTGCCCAGCTATGTCTGAGGAAATATTAGGGACAATTTGGTACATGTGTCAAAATACAAGTCAAGTTTTCCAGCAATTTATGGACATGTTATTTTTTCATACTTTGTCAAGGAAATATAGGAAGTTATACAGATATTTAGACAAGAAGACCAAGGGACATCTATAGTTATGTCTCCATACATTGTTATTTAACGCCAATTTTTAAGTATCCCATAAGAAGCGGGTGATTGAAACGTCTAAATTCTAAATTTTTGTTTTTAATTTTGCATTTAAAAGAAAAGCTCTATACTATTTAAATTTCTGAAAAACAGGTCATGCATTCAACAAATGCATGGAAATACTTTTGTTAAATAAGTTCTGGCATCTTTCAGGGTAAGCCTAAATCTGCATTTCAGTTTCTGCATATCTAAATAGCATCTAATCTGGTTAATAGTTGATCACAACAATTATTAACAATTAAACTATTAACAATGGTTAATAGTTGATCACATGACAAGAAAACAATAACCTGCACGGTGGCATGTGAAGTCATGTGGTCCATGCTAGTTTGCTATCTCTACTTGCTGCACATCACAGTCATTTGTAAACGTAAGGTTCTGACGAGGCAATGCTTTGTGTGGCCTGGTTAATTTACATTTTCTCTTTTTGCAAGAGCTCTCCTAAAATTTGAATGACAGTGGCTAAAAGCATAGCAACTGTTTTGCAAAGCCTCTCCTACAGACCCTGTTATCTTTTTCTTTAAAAATGTCAGTTTTTTACTTCAGAAGAACTCATTGCGAAGGGGCACTATTAAGTTTTAGTTTCTTACAATGAAGTGGGAATGAACAACTGATTCTGATCAGCGTAAAGTCGAATCAAATGCGAACCAAGGACTGATCAAAAGCTATTGAAAGCATTACTCTAAAATGCACTACATCCTAGAGTATAGATTTTCTAGGGCCCTATAAAATCCGTTTTATTTTTTCCCAAATTCGTTTTTTTCCATTTTCATTTTTGAAAATTCAGTTTTTTCCGTTTTACGTATGTATTTTTGAGCTTCCAATCAATGGAATGTTGACAAAACTTGCAAAACAATAGTTCACCTGACACGTAAAAGTCACGAGGGAACTGCTCGGCTCTGTACTCAGGGCTTAGCGTCGCGTTTCTCAACTTTTTTGTCGAAAGCAGAGCTTTGGAGAGCCGCTTCACCATTTTTTCAATGTTTTGATGGGGGAGGGAGAGCAGAAATGACGGAGCGGAAGGGGTTGTGTCGCCCAGATTGTGCATTTCCCCCGACGTACGTTCTTCTCCCACACAAAAACATAATTTCATTTCCAATGTAGAAATTTGTCAAGTCTATTTAGTTGTGGAAACAAAATTTGGTTATACTTATGATTTCTAATTGTGCCACAATGGAAAATTTAAGAAGTTCTTAAGTTTAAGTCAGATGCAGCAGCCTATTAAACATGAGCAGAGTACAAATGCTGCAACGGCCAATATCCTGATCATTTTATCTCATGCATATCACACTTGATTAGGATGCACTCAGAGTCAGGATGATGGAGCCCATCCTGCAGCTGCAGGGACAGATAGCACATCTGTCCATTCTGCTCTTCTACATCCTGCACATGACCGGCACAACACACAGGACCGACGTGCTCTGGGCCAGAACTCACTGTGCTGTGTGTGGTTTAACTCTAGCGTTCCCTGCATCAGTGCAGTGATGCACAGACTGACTGCGTCTAGTAACAGTAATAGCTTAAATAAAATATTTATACGCATCAAGTTTCCTTGAGGCTTGGTCTCACAATTCAGTTGTGTTCGTCTGGCTCGGTTCGGATCGGGCTTTATGCCCATGATCGGGTCTGGCTGGATGTTCTGGGCCTAATCTATGATCTTCTATATCTTTTTAAGGCTTACACTTTGAGATGAGACTTCTAGCTCTTTAATATGGAAGTGGTACAGTACTTGGACATGATTCCAATCAAAAAATAATCCACATTCTGCTTTGAAAATCAGAACATGCATCAGGGAATAACATCACATCTGACTTTTAGATGTTCTTGCTGCAAATTGGAAAACCTGGGATTTGCTTCAAGTGTTTCTCTCCATTTTATAGAAACAATTAAACATGCTGACAAATGGAAATCATACCTTACCAAGTATGCTGCAGGCTTAATAAGTCACAGGCCTCCAGAGGTGCTAACAGTTACCAGCAGGTTTCAACGTATGAGCCATGTTGGAGCGCACACTTTCTGGGCTGGAATTCAAGTTTCTTAAGGGGAACTTGTTTTTTTGTTTTGTTTTTTCAAGAAACTCTGGAAAAACTTCGGCTTTGTACAAAACATTGGTGCAAGCTTAAGCACATATATACCATATCATGTGTGCTTAATTTTGCATTATTTTGCTTTAAGTGTACCAGGCTGAGAAGGCCAAATGGAACACGACAGCTATCTTCATTACATAAAAAACTGCACTGCTGATTGTCCACATGCTTTTTTTCTGACTTTCAGTTGCCATATTTACCTTTCAGGGTGTCTTGCTCAGCTCTCATGATGTCAATCAGCGAGTTCTCCAGAGTGTTCATGTTGAAACTGTCAAATGATCTGGTTCGTTCCTACAGGAGGAAAAAAAGAAAAGGGAGACATTCAAATTCTTTCTTTCTTTCTTTCTTTCTTTCCCTCGGAAGGCGTTTAGTTGAGATTCTTTCTTTGTTGCTGTGGCAAATGTGTAAAGTAGAGCAGGAGTCATTAGATTTATCTTTGAATGCAGCACTGACCTAAATAAATATGCACAGAACGAGGCAAGAGGAGGAGACAGCACTTCTAATTTCACATTAAAAATACGACCAGCATACTTCAAGCAGTGGCTGAACCAAGCGTGTGCTACATCAGAAAATATGCCACATATAATAGAAAGTACATAACAGGTTAGAAGATTTTAATTTATTTATACACATTATTATGACAATTGTTCTTGTAAAGAACAAAAACTCAAAGAAGTTTTTATATTTATTTTCCGTTTTCTTTTTGTTTGGTGAACGTTAAGCCAAGTCCTCCCGTTCATCTTCCAAGTTGCTTTTAATGGAGAAAAGCTGCACCAGTTTGAAGAGACTGGGTTAATATCAGCCCAACAGATCCGCAGCGAGCCCAGTGCGTCAGCAGCTCCACCTTCTATGGAGCCATCCTTGGCATACCGGCGATGCTACGTATCAGTGTATGCACACATCGACATGTGTAAACACTCTCACACCCTTACAATGTGAATACATAAAATATGCTCTCACGCTGAAAACACAAACAGACGCAGCGAGTGGCATGCTGATAAGCTCTCTGCATCGACTCCGCCTCGGCCGATGACGGGCGGCCATGCTGACAAACTCTTCTTATTTCCTGCTTTTCAAAACAAACAAATGAGCGCTATCAGAAATTCATAACCTTATTGTTTTTTATCGGAAACACCTAACATCCCCACTGTATCACGTTTGAACACTTCATTCTTTCCTTCCTCCTATTTTTAAACCTTTTTTTTCTCCCCCCAGTCATTCTACAATGAGTATCACCTCAAAAGCAGAAATTCCTTAAACGCTGCCATATTTCTCATATATGCATCAGAGGCCCCACACTTTAAAAAGCCAGTGACTCCTCTGGTGAAAAGAGGTTCCTCAGTATGTTTTTCCTCTTCTCTGAAAGACGCTTAAAGATGTTTATTCTTCCTAAACTGTCTGTTAAAGAATACTTTCCACACTTATCTCTTACACTACTTTAAGGTGCTGCTTTAAAAGGCTTGCAGTGACTCAAGATTATATATTAGGTATCAGTCTAAATATGGTTATATGATTCATAAAATCCAACTAAAATCCTCCAGACTTTTAATAACACTGGAAGACATTCAGACCGCCACATTAAAAAATGCTTTAAACCCAGAAATATTCACCTAAATAAAACACACTGAAGTCTGATGAAACACTTGACTGAGTAGACTCACAAAACAGAATAGCACTCCACATTAAGTGCTTTTTTTTTGCTCTAAACCAGAGGAATTGGTCTTGAGGGAATAATTGGGGAGTAATGATATTCTACCATCATTTTTCCTCGTAGTAGAATAGTTGAAAATGTGTCAAATGCAACGAGAAATCCTGAGCATGAAAATCAAAGTTCAAATGAAATAAATCTAAAACTTGTGACTATTTGAATGGGTAACAGGTATAAAAACCAAAAATAAAAATTCTAATCAAGACACACCTGAGTTTTTGCATCTATATCAAATAAAGTCTGCTTTAATTTGTTTTGCTCGTTTAATGATTTAAGCAGGAGAAATGCATATATTTGAGATGAAGATGTAGATGAAAGGATGCAGCCAAGCTCTAAAGTCTGGTTCATACCCGATAGTCAGCGCGGTGCAAATAGCCAAATTATGTTGAGTTTAGCAACAACGCCAATCCTCCACGCGGCGTCTGCGCTGCCTGAGTTTCCCCATCATGTAACTAGAAAATTTTTATATCTGCTGCCAGCTCGACGCAAAAAAATATGGTGGACAGGCTACATCTCATAGCTGCTAAGGTTCAAAATATAAACATCTAGAAACGTCTAATGAGCTGGCTCATAAAAATCCCCACTTTCAAGAGATTGTGGATCAGCAATGACTTTCACTCCTAGATGACACCAAAAGGCTATGAAAATGCTGGAAACAGCTGTGTTTTCTACTTCTACGGGTTGTGTAGTTTTGGAACTTGTAGTCTGTGTCGTATATCCCCCCCGCCACTAGATATATCTAGAATGGGGAGAAAGGGGCACAGAGTATAAAAGCTCTAGATGCTTAAGGCCTATTTATACTCAGAAACCAGGTTGTCTGCGTCGTAGTGAATGCAAATGTGCCCCCGCTCCTTCCGCAGACACTTTGCTGCACCTCTCCAACATTGTAGGTGACTGCAGACAGATCCGCAGATAGGAAGCCTCTCATTGGTCAAATCTGCATCCGCTTTACACTATGCGTATTTTTCTGTTTGGTACCTTACCGGCTTTTTTTGTTTTTTGTGATCCCTATTTCAGAAAACGACTCATGAAGTTGGACCAGCGAGAAGAGTGAGGTGCGCTGGGACCCTTTTTCCACCTGGATCCCCGCTCTTTTTCGCCATCATGTCCCTCCGTTGTCGCACAAACTTGCCCCCACTTCCTCACCGCCTCGGCCATATCTAGACCCAGAGCTAGTTCCTGATTGTCCCTCTTGCTTTGTGGTGTGGAATAACATAGCGCAGGCCACGCTTCAACATTGGGCATAAATCAAAAATATCTGCGACAAGCTCACTGCTCACACTGTGAGCCCTAACCAGCCCTCATTACTCGGCATGTCCTATTTCCAAGTGGATTGTTCATGCATGAAGCATAACTTACTAACTCACCCACTAAGATAAAACTCAGAATACACACCAGTCTGTTATAAACATGTAATTTTAATACTTTTGTATTAAACTTTTGTCTCAATCTAAATTCCATTATATTTTCTTGTTTTTAAAGGTTTGTTACCTCTTTTAACCTTGAGATAAAAAAATTAGACAAACCAAAACGAAAAGAAAAAAAAAATATATATATATATAAACTATATAACACTGCATTATCTGGTCAAGGTCTAAACTTCCCCAATAATGACCCAAAAATGCAAGTCAACATGTAAGTAATCTGTATCCTCAACTCCGCTTTTCATTTGCAATAGTCGTACCATGAGCCACTGTCTCACTATTTTTATTCAAAAAACAGATTCAAATCCATGAGAACAGCAGCTTAATATGAGTAAAGAAACCCTGAAGGGTGAAGGCACTGTGGAAAGAAAAGCTCATAGCATACTCTGTTACCATGAACTCCACAGGGGTTAAATGCTAAAGGGTTCAGAAAAACAGACCTACTTCTGTGAACCACATGACCCACGCTCTGCCAGGCAGGCACCTCACTTTTTCATCCCCTCCCCTGCGCTTGGAGCCGCTCCTAAACTCAGAAGATACCTCATGTGTCTGACAGGTTAAAGAGAGTAGTTGCCTTGAAAAACTCTTAACACCGACTGAAGTTTGAAGTCTCTGTGGTGTTAGTCATATTGCAGGGATTCGATGGGATAAAGCAACACAAAGAAGTAAATGATGACTGTGACATGGGGGAAAAAAGATGCAAGGGTTTACTAGAGTTTTTCAAGAAAAAAAACGTGAAAAGTGTGGCATCTAAATACGGAAGAGGATTAGGGCCACTGAAAAAAAAAAATGTAACTGATTTTTAAATTTTATTTCAGTTTAACATGGGGAAAAAAGTCAGAATTCTGACTTTAATCTCAGAGTTCTGACTTTTTTCTCAGAATTCTGACTTTTTTCTCAGAATTCTGACTTTAATCTCAGAATTCTGACAGCTAACAAACATCTTAGCATCAAGCCATAGCCATGTCTGTTTTAGAGACTAGCTCTCTTGTTTTAATGACCTTCTACTCCTCCATTAATGAGGGGACCCCTCGGGCACGAAAAAGTTACCTAATTCCGTCACCACCAATGTGTCACTGGCCCCCTCAAACAACTCACATCTTTGTCAGTGAAGCTGAGTGCTCCCACATCTCTTGCTTCATGATGCCCATCTACATTAAGATCCAAAATTCTGAGATTAAAGTCAGAATTCTGAGAAAAAAGTCAGAATTCTGAGATTAAAGTCAGAATTCTGGAAAAAAAAAGTCAGAATTCTGAGATTAAAGTGAGAATTCTCAGAATTCTGACTTTTTTTCCCATGTTAAACTGAAATAAAATGTAAAAATCAGTTAACTTTTTTTTTTTTTCAGTGGCCCTAATCCTCTTCCGTATCTAAATGTACTCTGCCACCTCATCGTAAAGTCCCAGAGGAAACAATCGGCTCTCGCACCTTTTTAACAAACAGGATATTTATATGCAATTTAATTTTGGTACCGTCTTTCAGTGGAGGTCCAAGAAAACGTAGGTGAGCAACCAGGATTATTAACACCAAAGCTCACAGCAAACAGGCCATTGAGAAAGTAAACTGCAAACTCTGGAAATGATCCTGACAACACCAACAGGGAAACACAATGGTGGTAGAATCAGGGGCGGAGCTAGATGGAGGGCCATTAGCCACCCCTGTGGCCTCCCCTACCATTTTATTCCCTCTAATACAGAGGGTGGCAGCAGTAATACCCTCAAGTGGAATATTCAAAACATTTTAATTTTTTGGTGTTAATTATGCACATCAGTATACTAACATTAAACATAAGTTCAGAATTCATACCCTTTTAGAACTACATTTTGTGTTATATATGGGGTAAAATAATAAAAATGAAATGATGTTTCTGCAAGTCATCTAAGAGTCTTCAGTGATTCATAGATACATAACTATTTTGATAAGAAAGGATCAAATAATACATTTATGTAGGTATTAATACTTGTAAATATCAATTTTATGCACAATGATTGTTGATAAAAGTAGGTAAGTAATGACGATCGAAGAGATGTTCGCCCCAGAAATCTAACCTGAAAGAAATGTATCCACTATACCTTTTATCTAGAAAGCACAGATGTTTAAATATATGCATCTATTTGTTAGCAAAGGCTAAAGGAAAGTATAGTTTGTCTTTATTTTG